CCCAGCCAGGCTCTTGGCCAGCACACTGTGGCTCGCGCGGCGGATCGGACCGGGAGGCTGCGGACGGGGCCCAGGGTGAGGCGGAGGCACCCCTGGGCGCTCCGAGGGAGCTAGGCTGGAGGGTCCGGGACCCCCTAGGCTCGGGGAGGGGGCGTTGCGCGATTCTCAAAGCAGGGGTGGCTCTTCAATGGGGGTAGGGCGAGGAGCTTTAATTTCTGCGTTTGCAAAGGAAAGAGGCCGGGGCTGGGTTCCTGGGTCCTGGAAGGACAGGATGAGAGCCCAGGTTGGGGCTAGGCCCCTGCGTTCTCCTGGAGAGGTGAAGACTAGACCCTCTGTCGTCCAGGGAGCTGGAGGCTCCGACTCTGCGCCTCCCTAGGAGCCCCTGCCCTTCCTCTCTCCCCAGAACATGTCACCTGAGGAGCGAACGTATCTAGTGGTTCTTCTCATCTCCATCCCGATCGGCTTCCTCTTTAAGAAAGCTGGTGAGTCAAGTGTCCGCCGCGAGAAAGCGAGGGGAGAGGCAGGCGGCGGGAGGGGGTAGGGGGAGCCCGAGTTTCCAGGCTCACGCCGTCCTTTCCCTACAGGACCCGGGCTGAAGCGATGGGGCGCGGCCGCCGTGGGCCTGGGGCTCACCGTGTTCACCTGCGGCCCCCACACGCTGCACTCTCTGATCACTGTGCTGGGGACCTGGGCGCTCATTCAGGCCCAGCCCTGGTGAGCGGGCGGCGGCAGAGGGAGGGGGCCACCTGTCATCTTCGGGTCTCTGCTCTCTCCTTGCTCCCAGTTCTTCGTGTGTCACATTCTCCTCCCCTCCTGCCTCGCTCAGCTCCTGTGGCTCCGTGTGCCTGTGCACTTGTCCCTGTGTGCTGTCCGCACTGCCACCCCCATGCAGTCATTCCGTGCCTGCTCTGCCTTGGTGGTGGGGAGGACCAAGGAGGACTGAAAGGTCTTGCCCTAAAGCATCTCTTAGCCCCGTCCTTCCTCCCTGCTCTGTGGCTGCGTTCTCTTCAGCAGCTCACATTCTCTGTTTGAACCCTGAGTGCTGGGGGAGGATTTGAGCCGACATTCTGGGGGTGGGGGCAGACTCCTGGAACTCACACAGCGCCTCCACCTCCCCAGCTCGTGCCACACGCTGGCCCTAGCCTGGACCTTCTCCTACCTGCTGTTCTTCAGAGCCCTCAGCCTGCTGGGCCTGCCAACTCCTACACCCTTCACCAATGCCGTCCAGCTGCTGTTGACGCTGAAGGTCAGCCTGCACTCCCCCTCCCTGCCTCCCCCAGGCCCAGTTAGCCACACCGTGCCTCCTCCCAGCCCTTCCCACTCCCACAGGCGAGGCAGGAATTTTATCTCAAACCTTCAGTGTGGGATCTGTGCTCACGGTTCTTGTCTCAGAGCAGGTCTTCGCCTCCTCACTGTTTCTGGGGTAAAGAGAGAGCCTGAGCGCATGCTGTGATAGGAAGAGTTCTTTGGCACTGGGCTGTGCCTTTTGGCCCTGCTTTCACCACATACTGTGCCTAAAGCCTGTAGCAAAGTGTTTCGCGGAGGAGGGAAATTCATTTTAGGGAGTAGGTGCGTGGCCAAGGGCGTCAACTGGGACAGCTGGGTGTGGCTCCTCTCACCTGGGAAGGTAGGTGGAAGCAGGCCCCAGGCCCTCCCCGGACCTAGCAAGTCCCGAGTTCCACTCTGCCATAGGGTCTGGTGCAGAACTGGCTTCTCCAGCATGCTGTGTTCTCACCAGGAGCTCAAGCACGGGCAGGAGGCGATCAACTGTGAGGAGACTTGGAGGAAGACCATTTCTGGATGTGTGGGGACCAGGGGCCAGTGTGGGGGGGACGGCCGAGTGCGACAGACTGCCACCCACGTCAGCTTCCTGCATAGGGCAGTGGGCAGCAGGGTCCCGGCCACGCAGGGCCTTGTCAGCCATGGCAGGAGTTGGGACCTCTCTCTGTGAGAGACCAGCATGCACTGAGGAGAGTTGCTGGAAGAATGGATGTGATCAGTTTTGCTTTTTTTTTCTTTTTCTTTGTGGAACCAGGAATTGAACTCAGACCCTTGCGCTTGCCAGACAAGTGTTTATTCTACTGAGCCATCTCCCCGGCCCCCAGTTTTGCTTGTTTAGAATGTTAAAATGCCCGCTAGGCATACACACTGCAGGCACCACGCCTATTGTCCCGTCTTCAAAGGCTGCGTAAGTAGCCCAAGAACATGGCTTGCCTGGCCTGTGGGAAGCTCTGCTGTCAGTCCCTAGACCCACAACAACTGAAGAGAAAGGCACGCATCCTGGATAGTGAGAGTATTGAGGTGGCACAGGCCAAGAAGAAATGAGATAGGGATCCTTTATCAAGGACCACGTGACAGGTGGTGGCAGCTTGATGCGTTATCAGCCTTGGGTGGCAGCTCAGAGCCCCAACAGGAAGTGCTGCTTGAGGACAGCTAGAGGGTTGTATGTTGCAGCAGGGTGGGCGGCATGGAGAGAACAGCAGTGCAGGGACCCTGGGCCAGGCTGAGTCCGGGGAATGGAAGGGAAGTATTGGATAGAGGCCTCCATCGTCGGGGGAAGAACAGCCCTGCCCTCGCCATCCTGCCTTCCTCACTGTCCCCTTGGGCCGTGTCCACGAAACCCAGTGTTAAGCCAACAGACACGCCTGTAGGCTGTGGCCCTGTGGAATCAGTAGAGAGTAGAACTGGAGGGACGGGTGGGGTGTCTCTAGTCCCACAGTGGAGGCAGAGAGGAGACAGACCCGAGTAAACCGAGTGGTTGCGTCTAAGATCAATGGTGTTTTCTGGCCTGAGCAGTTGACTAGATAGGGTTGGCCTGTTTGCAGAGATCTTCAGGCAGTGGGGCATTGGCTACAAGCATAAATGGCAACTGGACAACCTGCTGGGGCTCCTCGGCTCAGCCAAGCTCCAGACTGGGATAGTGTCTGGGTGTCACTAGCTTGTGGGTCATACCTAGAACCACAGGACTGCATGTGTGCACGTGGGGAGCTGGGAGGGCTTCCCTTTGCTCAGTGCCCAGCCTGCCCTGCAGTGGCTCCCGCCTGGCCGTGCGGGCAGAGCCGGCTGACCGCTCCGCACACCATCCCCCAGCTGGTGAGTCTGGCCAGTGACGTCCAGGACCTGCACTTGGCCCAGCGGAAGGAAATGGCCGCGGGCTTCAGCAAGCCGCCCGCCCTGGGGCTGCTGCCCGACGTTCCCTCCCTGATGGAGACGCTGAGCTACAGCTACTGCTACGTGGGGATCATGACGGGTGAGTGCCGGCCTACCGCGCTCCCTGTGCCCCGGCCTGGAGTTTGCTGCTGCTCCGCTCCTCCAGGCTCCCTTAGTCCCCGCTGTTCCTGGGTTCTGTACAGACATGCCTGTTCTGGGTGTGTGAATATCACATGTGTGGAGTATTTTGGTCAACTTTGAAGCTTTGCACACTCTTATCTGCTCCTCCCTAGGCCCGTTTCCAGTGATTGCCCCCTCCCTTGGCCCAGGCCTGCTCAACAGGAGTGGGCCTGTGGGAAGTGGGTGGGGCCGGCTCTCCCCGCTGGAGTTGAGGGGCTTCCCTGTACTCTAGGGCAAAGCCAGTCCTCACACCTGGGCCTGGGCATGCCTTCCCCTCCCGTCTTCTCTCCAGGCTGGCCTACCTTCTGTGATTCTTATACCGGGGTCACCCGTGTCCAGGTCTTGTCTGTCGGTCCTCATCTGTCTTAATCTCAGTCCTTATCCCTAGGGTCAGCGTCCCATCCTTCTGTCTGTCCTAGTGTCTGGGTCCCCTCCCTCACCCTTAGTCTCTGACCACCTGTCCCTTTTGCCTCCGTAGGCCCATTCTTCCGCTACCGCACCTACCTGGATTGGCTGGAGCAGCCCTTCCCCGAGGCCGTGCCCAGCCTGCGGCCCCTGCTCCGTAGGGCCTGGCCGGCCCCGCTCTTCGGCCTGCTCTTCCTGCTGTCCTCTCACCTCTTCCCATTGGAGGCCGTGCGCGAGGACGCCTTCTACGCCCGCCCGCTGCCCACCCGCCTCTTCTACATGATCCCAGTCTTCTTTGCCTTCCGCATGCGCTTCTACGTGGCCTGGATTGCTGCCGAGTGCGGCTGCATTGCTGCCGGCTTTGGGGCCTACCCCGTGGCTGCCAAGGCCCGGGCCGGGGGCGGCCCCACGCTCCAGTGCCCACCCCCCAGCAGGTCAGGCGAAGGGAGGGAGGTTTCCCAAGACTCAGCAGGCCCTGCCGCCAGGGGCTGGCCCTGCTAGGCTGGCCCTGTCCCCACAGGGAGGGCAGTGGGGAGAGGGCAGGGCACCGAGGATGGTGAGCGGTGTGTCACCTCTGGCAACTACTACCTGCCTGCCCTGTCGTTTGGGGTCCAGTGTTCTTGGTACCTATTCATTGCCGCTTATTGCTAGCACATGTCACCCCTCAATATGGTGAGACTCCCTCTGTTGCTAGAAAGGAAGACGGTATCCTATTAACTGTACACCACCCTGTGTTGCCATGGAAATGTCACCCCCAGAACCAGATTATTGCTGGGGACGCCATGCTTTGGTCATGGTAGGTCATCTTCCGTTGCTAGGGAATGGTTGCTTAACAGTTCTGCTCTTTGCTAGGGAAACCATATCCCTGGCAACTAGCTCTTTTTGATAGAAGTCCTGTTCTCAGGGGCTACAGAACCTGCGCCCCCTGAGTGCGTGGGAGCAAGTACCTTCTCGTGACGTGTTGTCACAGAGCAGCTCTCGGTTGCTCTCTGTCTCTAAGGAAGTAGCATCTCCTGCCCTAGCCTGGCTGGAAGGAGGCCATTCCCAGCAACCACAGGTCACCCCTTCCCGTTACCAAGGAAACCAGCCTTCCTCCTGGTAACTGTCTTGACCCCCGTTGCTCCTGGTACTGCCCACGTCTTCAGCGCCCTTAGTGCTGAGCAGGTCACAGGCAGTAACTATGGGCTCCCCTGTTGCTGAGGAAGTAGTATCCCTAGCAACCAGGAGTGGGCTGACTGTCCTCTAGAATCCCTTGCCAGCCTGCTACCCGGAGCTGGTGCTGGGGCGGCATCCTCCTGATGTAAATTACAAACCACTCCTTGCCGGGGTTGTGCCACCCCCCTCCGAGGCTCAAACTGCCATCCTGTTGTGGGGTGGTGGTGCCCACTGCCCTAGTTACCATGGAGAGACCCCCCCCCAGCTGCTAGAGAGTATGTCTCCCAGGGAAGTCAGGCAGCCGTTGAAGGCTTTCTGAACCTGCCAGACCCCATTTAAAAGGATGGCTCCCTTCTGTCATCTGAAGCCACCAAGGATGTTCTCCATCTGGGGCTGCTGGCGTCACTGTATTTCTGGAGGTGACACTTGTCGAATGAGCACAGGAACCAGGACAAAAGGCTCTTCCTGGAAGCTTTTCTGAACAGCCTGAGCCTTGTTGCTAAGGAATCCTTTGTCCCTAGCACTGGAGATCATTGAGAGTCACCAAGCTTAGAAGTCTCCCCAGCAACCACCTCCTCTGGAAGGATGCTTCCCTAGCAACCACACTGTCCAAGGCTCAGAAGGGACCACACTTGCTAGGCTCTGTGAATAGCTGAGCTTGGTTGCTAGAGGACTCGCAGCTTAGCCGCCCTACCGCTCCAGGCCTTCTGCAGCCGTGGCAGCCCATCAGTTACCACGGAGAGAAGCCCACTGTTGGTGAACGGTGCCCGCCCTCCCACCTTGCTCCCCAGCCTGCCTTCCCTATGCCCGAGCAACTCTGCTAGCCTAAGAGCCATTACCTGGCCAGAATGGCGCCTTAGTTAGTGTCAGGGCTGGGACAGGAGCAGACGTGGGAGGGGCCTGGCTGAGTTGCATGTCTGTCCCCGCCCTCATCCCCACCCCCAGTCTGGAGAAGGCAGCTGCCCTGGAGTACGACTATGAGACCATCCGCAACATCGACTGCTACAACACAGACTTCTGTATGCGCGTGCGGGAGGGCATGCGGTACTGGAACATGACGGTGCAGTGGTGGCTGGCGCAGTACATCTACAAGAGTGCACCTGCTCGCTCCTACGTCCTGAGGTGAGGGAGCCCTGCCCCTAGGCCTCATGGGAGTTGTAGTTTCCCTGGCCTGCCCTGGGGTAAGTTGTCTACCTACGCCTGAGGTCCTCCTCTTGTAACACTGCAGGGTACTGGGTTTTGTTCCTTCAGCAGTCGTGAATTACCAGGCTGGCCTTGAGCTTGCAGTGCTCCTAAGGTGCTCAAGCAGGTGGGAGCGTAGGAATGTACCACCTCACCAGCCTTCTCCTAGTGTTTCTTGAGTAGAAACCGTGGTGGGCTGGGCATCATCTATAAGCCACAGAAATACCAACTTAATCCTGGGGTTTTTTTGTCCCCACGTTAGAGGCCAAGGTTCAGAAAGGTCTTGAGAGGCCACAGCCCTAGAGCTAGAGCTGCCTGGGCGAAGGCTACCTTGTGGTGGAAAGGTCTGCTCAGCCAGCAGTGACAGCCGGTGGCCGTCACCCCAGCACTTGGGAGGCAGAAGCAGGAGGAGTGTGAGTTGAAGAACTGCCTGTGTAATACAGCAAGATCCTGTCTCAAAAAGCACACAACGAACAAAAAAATTTTTCAGCGCCTGGCGTGTGCCAGACCGTAGGTTTAATCTCCAGTATCGTAAAAAATACAGCCCCTGCAGCTGGATGTGGTGGTGCTCTGGCAGACGGGCAGGAGAGCCACAAGCTTGAGGCCAGCGGTGGTATCCTAGCAAGATCCTGCCTTTAAATAAGTCAGAAGGGCTGGCTGGGGGTGCAGCTCAGGGTGAAGGCCTACGTTCAGTCCTAGGTACCTTGGGAGGGGTCCTCTGGCAGTGTGGTGAGTGCATTAGAGGTGGAGAATGGCAGCAAGTACAGAAGCTGGGAGGGGAGTCAGACCCAAGTACAGGCACCCTGGCGAGGACGAAAGCTTGGAGTCCTCGTAGGGGGTAGCAGCCTGGAAGTAGCCAGATTTGGGAGCAGAGCCGGGGTGGGAGTGCGCTGCATGTGGGTGCAGAGAAGAGGCATGAAACGTGGCTCCCAGCTTGGGGTGTCCGGAGGGGACACCGGAAGACCTGGGAGAAGGAGGGTGAAGAGCCAGGCTTGGGCTCTGACTCCTTACCTCAGAGGTGACTCAGATTACAGCCGGGCCCCTTGCAAAGGCAGTGACATGGCTGTGAGGCTTCAGGGAGCAGCTGGCGTTGGCAGTGGACACTCCGTGTTCTCCATGTGGCTCATCCACCCCCCTCAGGTCAGGGCCCTACTCCGCACCCGTGTCTAGTTCAACAGTCCACTTGGGTGACTGCCCACTGCAGGGGATGTGTGGAAGTGTCAGGCTTGGGGCCTCCAGCTTGCTAGAAAATGCTGTGCCCTGAGCCACACCCCCAGCCCCTAACTGGGCAGGGCCAGGCCTGCCCCTTAACACCTTGCTGTGTGCAGCATTCCGCCTTCTTTTCACTCACTCGGAGGATGAGACAGTCCCCATTATCTGCCGCTGGATTATTTTTGCACTTTCAGTCCCTGGGTGTCAGAGGGACAGACCCACGAGCAGGCAAGAGCTCCCTGAAGTCACAGCGTAGTACAGCCAGAACTGACCCTGCCCAGTTGGAGGGTGAGATAGAGAACGATTCTTGGGTCTCCATGGCAGAAGGCTCAGCCTGAATTCATGTGTTTCAGGAGCCAGAGAATCAGGTTTCTGGGTCTAAAGTGTAGGGAGCCAATCTTGGAGTCTGGGGAGGTGCAGAATTATGGCTGAAACCGAGTCTCCAGGAATGAGAAATTTCGCTTAGGTTCCTAAGGTAGGACAGCTGGGATCCCAGGTTGGTGGGTCCCACAGAAAAGGAGTGGTGGGAGAACTAGGTCCCCAGAAAGAGGAATAGACTCTTTAAGTCCTGGGACAGGAAGCAGGACAGGACTTGTGTGTGCTGCGTACATGTGTGTGTGTTTGTGGGGCTGGGGATTGCACCCAGGACCGTGCTCATGCCAGGCAATGGACCAGTGCACAACATCCCCTCTTGGCTTCTTAAAGGAGGCAGGAGCTGGAGTCTACTGGGTGGGCAGCTCAGGACTGCCTTTCTCCCAGAGGCAGGGACCCCTGGCTTCGTGATGCTCCAGAATTGGTCAGTGTGTCGGCTGGGCCGTGGTTCTCAGGCAGTCACCCACCACATGTCATGTCAGACAAGTCCAGTGGGCCCCATGCCCGGGATGTCTGCTGCCAGTGGGGTGGAACCTAGAAGTTTCTGTTCTAAGAAGTTCCCAGGTAACGCTGCCAGACCACAGAGCGGACTTTGAGAACCACTGGGCCAAGGAATCATGCTTCTTGGGCCTGAGGAAGTGCTGTGGGCCATGAGACCCCAGTAGGAGAAGGGGCTGCGGTTAGGCTCGCTGTCTCCGACATGGGGAGCAGGAGGGCTGGAGCCTCCACTCCTGTGTGCTGACTCCCAGCCTCCCCCAGGAGCGCCTGGACCATGCTGCTCAGCGCCTACTGGCATGGCCTGCACCCCGGCTATTATCTCAGCTTCCTGACCATCCCGCTGTGCCTGGCTGCGGAAGGCTGTTTGGAGGCGGCCCTGTGGGCGCGGCTGAGCCCCCGGGGCCAGAAGGTCTGGTACTGGGTGCACTGGTTCCTGAAGATGCGTGCCTACGACTACATGTGCATGGGCTTCGTGCTGCTGTCCATGGGCAGCACGCTCCGGTACTGGGCCTCCATCTACTTCTGCATCCACATCCTGGCCCTGGCCTGCTTGGGGCTGGGGCTAGCTCTGGGAGGGGGCAGGCGCAGCAGGCAGAAGACTTCGCCCCAAGCCACCAGCACGGCCCCCGAAAAGCTCCGGGAGGAGTGAGCCGCTGCAGCGCGCCCTCTGCTGGCCGGTCCCGCCACACGCTGCGCCCCCTGGGAGTCCGCGCCAGCGAGCTGTCTCTTCCCGCCGAAGTTTCAGGGGGGCCTGGCCTGAGGAGGGTTCCATCTGCCCCACTTAGCTCCCCGCTTTACACTGGATCAGAGGCGAGGCAGTGCCCTCTCGCCTTCCCCTCTCCGACACCAGGGTACCATCTGGACGCCTCCCTGCCCTGGCCGAAGTGTTCAGAACCACCGGCCTCGGACAGCAGGGTGGGCGTGGCAGGGTTTGCTCAGACGTTCTCTTCGGACCTGCTGCCCAGGGCCCGGGGCATCGAGCTCGGCTTCTGGAGGGAGCGCTTCTTCCTGTGTCCTGTTCCATTTTTAATTTCCATCCAACCGATGCTTTTTGGGCAATGTACAAGGGGATGTGACCTTCCATTTCCTAACTGGGAATTTGTTCCTGTAGCCCTTGGCCCAGAAGGGGTCAGAACGCATCGGTCTTCCCAATAAAGTGTCACATGGGCGTGTTTGTGAGAGCATATGCAGCGATAAAGCTGGGGACAACTGCCTGTGGCAGTATAGTCAGGGCTGTCGGCCCTGCCCGAGGCTGGCCCAAGGTGTGGCGCCGGTAACCCGGACTCCAGTTCCCAGGAGACCGTGCAGGAGTGACCCTGCACACGTGTACATTGTGCCCTTCCTGGGCTACCTGCTGGCGAGGTGCCGCCCTGCGCCTGGGCCCTCCCTTACCTAGGACTGTCCCGCCCAGGGGACCAGGGAGACGGAAACACTGCCGCCCAGGGCCATGGAAGGAGGCCTCCACTGGGAACCCGAGCCCTGGGGGCCCCCAGGTAGGGTGCTGGTCCACCCGGAGGCTACAGCCGGTGGGAGAGCTGGTGTGTTTGCAGCCTTCCAGCCAGGTGGCAGTTGGGGAGCCTGAGCTCCCGGGTACTAACCACAGGGCGGAAGTTTCAGTTACTGAGGAAAAGACAGGAACCCCGAGTCAGGAGGAATCAACCCCAGACTCACTGGAGGACAGGTTTGGGAGGAGGGACTGAGCTGTCACCTGGCGGTGGTGGGCTGAGAGCTCAAGCTACGGAGTAAAGGAAAAGGAAGTAGGGGCCTGAACTCCTTGGCCTTAGAGTAGGAGCAGCCTTGGGGGGTGGGGGCAGGAGTCTGGATTCCTGGACCTGTGGGAGTGGAGGGTAGGAATTCCAAATTAGACTAGGCAGATATGGTGTGAGCCTTTAATTGCAGCACTTGGGAGGCTGAGGCAGGAGGATCCTTGCTAGTGAGAGACCAGCCTGGGCTACAAAGTGAGCTCAAGGCCAGCCTGAACTGCATAAGGAAACCCTGTCTTTAAAAAAAGGGGGGGGGCACACAAGGGCCTGAGTTCAATCCCCGGTTCCACCAAAAACAAAAAACCCACAAGCAGTTCTCACAGAAGTAGCTGGGAATTCTGATCTCCCAGGACAGGGGCCAACTCAGGGCCAGGTCCCTTGGCCTCCCACTCTGCTCTCTCAGGCTCATCGCTGGCCTCTGTGCTGAAGGAGCTCCCAAGTGCTGCCACCATTCGGTACCGTGGCCCTGGGGTGCTGCCCTGGGGGTCCCTGGAGGAGGAGGAGGAGAAAGATGGAGGAAGGAGCATTCAGGCCTTCGCCGGTGCTAGCCAAATGGAGCAGGAAACCCACCCTTCCCGGGAGCTGCCCTGGCCCATGCAGGCGAGGCGGGTGCATAGGTAAGGGCCCGCAGTGGAAGCGGCTCGACGTTTCCCAGTGGCTTCCCGCACGCCTCTTCTCTGCTTTCCACCGCGCATGCCCCATGAGCCCGTTTGCAGTGCCTGCTCCAAGCTCTGGGTGGATAGTCACGTAGACTTCATTGTGTTGCGCCTGGCTTTTTGCGTAGATCAGGTATTTTTCTTTTGTTGCTACAGGGGAGCAGAGGAGGGCTGCCAGGCCCTCACTGTCTCGCTCTACCTCTGCTCCCCTTCCAGGAAGAACCAGGCCGGGCAGCACGGGGCCTACAGCTCCCAATCCAGGGTTGGCCACTGGGCCCGGCTACTGACCAGGGGCCAGGAGAAGATGAAGGCAGGCCTGCGTGGCCTGCAGCCTTGGGCGTGGACTGTGAAGAGGATCGGGGGTGTGTGGGGTCTGAGGGTAGAGGGCTGGCACCTGAGAGCCTGGGCTGGGGCAAGGAAGCGAGCACCTCTCTGCTCCCCCTACAGGCCAGTTTGGTGGTGGCACCAAGTCCTACTTCTCTCTGCTGCGCTTTCTGTTGCTTCTCAACGTCCTGGCGTCAGTGCTTGTGGCCTGCATGGTGCTGCTGCCCACCTGGCTGCAGGGGACTCCCCCGGGCCCTCCCGGCCCCAATGCCTCCTCGTCATGCGGCTCTTACAGCCCCCACGCCTCAGGTCTGGCCAGCTTCGCCTCCCAGCTCTTCAACTTGCTCTCTGGAGAGGTGGGTCTTAGTGATGTCGCCACCCCTACAGCCCGGCTCAATTACTGCCTCTCCCAGCCCGAGTGACCCCGTCTGCCTCTCCCTTCCCTCCAGGGTTACCTAGAATGGTCCCCTCTCTTCTACGGCTTCTACCCTGCCCGCGGGTACCTAGGAGTCACCTACCTGTGCTCCGTCTTTGCCTCTGGCCTCCTCTGCCTCCTGCTCATCCTGCGTCGGTCAGTGACACTCACATCCTGACCCCTGGACCAGAGGGTGGGAGCGGGCTCCCCAAGAACGCTTGCTCTGGGCTCAGTCCTCTGAGTTGCATCGGTTCATAAGACACTTCTCATGTGTGAAGACTAAGGACAGAGACGGCTACCCCCAAGCTTGGGATCTGGTGGAGAGCGCGGGATACTAAAAAGGCACAAAAGTCACTGGTTCCTGAAGGCAAGCTACACAGAAAAGGAGAGGCTGGGCATGGTGGCACACTCCAGTAATCGCAGCACACAAAAGGCTAAGGCAAGAGGATTGAAAACTGAAAGCCAGGGGCCCCAGATGGCTCGCTAGAATAAGCGCTTCTCTGGCAAGTGCAAGGGCCTGAGTTCAATCGCCGGTTCCACAAAAAAAGGAAGGAAGGAAGGAAGGAAGGAAGGAAGGAAGGAAGGAAGGAAGGAAGGAAAGAAGGAAGGAAAAAAAAGAGAGAGAGAAAGAAAACTGAAAGCCAGCCTGGGCTAGTTGGGGAGATCCTGTCTCAAAATTAAAGGGAAAGGCTGCGCGCCTGCGTTTATGCCCAGTACCTCAGAAACCAGGTAGAGCTTGGCAGGTTCATACCTGTGTCAAGAACAGTGCCAAGAACTAGAAGAGCACTCACTGTCCACTTGCCCAGAGAAGCCACCGTCCTGTCCACAACCCAGGATTCCTGTTTTGCACAAGTGTGGTGCCCTATCCCCACCTGCCCTGTCTTGCACATGTCTCTCTACAGCTCAGTGTCAGGACTGAAGCAGACGCTGCTGGCCGAGTCAGGGGCTCTGACCAGCTACAGCCACCGGGTGTTCTCCGCCTGGGACTTTGGCCTCAGTGGGGCTGTGCACGTGCGCCTGCGCCAGCGCAACATCCTGTACGAGCTGCAGGTGCGCGGGGGGGCGGGGCTCCAACATGATAGGGACCCATGGGACTGCTACGACAAGGCGCAGGGACTGGTGGAGGGTCCCAGGGCAGAGCTTTCTGGTAAGAAGACTCTGCTAGGGATCCCGGAGGGCGAAGGTGCAGGGCGTGGCAAGGCAGAGGTAGGGCGCGATAAAGATGGACTGCGGGCGAGGGGGCGGAGCTTGGGTGCAGGGCGGGTTCGCAGCCCTAGAGACCCAGAGTACTCATGCATCCTGCGGAGCCATGAACGAGCCCTGCTGAGGTGGTCAGCATGCGGAGAGGGCTGCATAGCTCAGCGTGGAGCCTGGTGACGTGTGCACGGCCAGGTGGAGCTGGAGGAGGCAGAGGTTCGGCGAAGAGCCAAGGCTCGCACGCTGGGCCAGCAGGCCCGGGTGTGGCTGGTGCGGGGGCTGCTCAACCTGCTGGTGATGGCGCTGCTGGGCGCGGCCTTCTACGGCGTCTACTGGGTCACGGAGGAAACCGGACGGCTGCAGGTGGGTCCCAGGACCGGCACCTGCATATCCCAAAGTGGAGGGTGTGGGAGGGGACGGAGGTCCAGTGTTCCTGGGTCTGGGGCGGGGGTAGACCCTGGGCGGGACCTTAAGCTTTGTCACTTCCTCTGCCGACCCTCGATCTCCCCAGGAGAAGCCCCTGGTCCAGCAGGCGCCGCTGCTGCAACTCGTAGTGAGCTACGTCCCGTCCATCTTCCTCTCCACAGTCAACGTTGTGCTACCGCCTGTGTTTAACCTCATTGGCCAGCTGGAGGGCTACACTCGGAGCCACCAGATCGTCCTTATCCTGATCAGGTTCCAGCCCGAGGGGTGGGCTGGGGTCAGAAAACTGAGGAACAGGGCGGGCGTGTTTACGTCTGCGGAGCATAGGGACAGGTGGATGGGGTCCCGTGAGTTCAGATTTTGCCACCTGTGAAACGCGAGGGCCATGAGCATCCCCACGCAGGAGGACGGATACGTGTGGGTGCCAGGCCCGCGCGACCCCTCCCTCGCCTCCCTTCAGGACTGTGTTTCTGCGCCTCGCTTCCCTGCTGGTTCTGCTCTTCTCGCTCTGGTCTCAGATCACCTGTGGGGGCAACGCCCAGGCCCCAGAGTGCAAAGACTGTGGCTACAACTACAAAGAGCTCCCGGTGGGTCCCCAGCCGGGCGCTGCTGGGGCTGGAGGCAGGACGGGAGTCCGGGTCAAGGAGTGTGGGTTCCGGACACGTAGCACTTTCGGATGCGTGGTCCCGAGGTCTCACCGACCCATTCTCCGCTTCCTCAGTGCTGGGAGACTCGCGTGGGCCAGGAGATGTACAAACTCCTGCTCTTCGATCTGCTGATCAGTCTGGCCTTCGCACTCCTCTTCCAGTTTCCTCGAAAGTGAGAGTCCCGCCCCTCGTGAAGCAGGCCCAGTCCCTGCAGTGCAGATCTCAGTTTTCAACCTCATCTCGCTTTGTCTCTCAATCACCCAAACATCACCCTGCACTTGCAGGCTACTCCGTTACCTGTAGCTGGGTCATCAGGCCTAGACTCCGCCCCCTGAGCATGCCCCACCCCTCAATGCTCCTTCCGGATTGGGGGGTGGGACGTGGTGGTGGGGAACCATGGTGGACACTTCTCCTATTAACCCCGCCCTCCCAGGATATTCTGTGGCCTCTGTCCAGGACCGCTGGGGCGCTGGGCCGGGACGCTGGAGTTCCAGGTCCCCGATGAGGTGCTGGGGCTCATCTACGCACAGACAGTGGTCTGGGTGGGCAGCTTTTTCTGCCCTTTACTACCTTTGCTCAACACAGCCAAGTTCGTGTTGCTTTTCTATCTGAAGAAGGTGAGCGTGAGGAGCCGGGACTTCTGGGCCAGGGGAGGTCGACATCGACAGCAGAGTCCAGAGTCTGAGACAAGGGGCCGATTCTGGGAGAGGAGACTCAGGAGATCTGGGTCTCAGATGCCCCTTTCTCGTCCTCCGGCCAGCTCACTCTGTTTTCCACCTGTTCCCCGGCCGCCCGCACTTTCCGGGCCTCCATGGCGAGCTTCTTCTTCCCCCTGATCCTCCTCCTGGGACTCGTCCTCTCCGCTGTCCCTGTGCTCTACAGCATCTTCCTGTAAGTGGGAGCTGCTCCTGCCACCCTTCCTGGCCCTTAGTCAGACTAAGACGCCTGCCAAAGCCCAGTCTGTCTCTGCCCACAGAATCCAACCTTCCAAGCTATGTGGTCCATTCCGGGGCAAGGAATCCATCTGGGCCCAGATCCCCGAGTCCATCAGGACGCTGCCTCGGACCGCCCAGAACTTCTTCTTCTTCCTGGGCTCCCAGGCTTTTGCAGTGCCACTTCTGTTAATCTCCAGGTGCGAGGGCCCAGCTGCAGAGCCAGAGTTTCAGCGTGCATGCGCTGTGTCCAGGCGACCACGGCCTGGGGGCCTGGATCTGGGGTCTGAGGGAGAAAGGGCTGAGAGACCGGCCTCCCGAAGCTGCAGGAGTAGGGTTCTCGGTGTCTGGTTCTGGTTGCTAAGGAGCCGTGGTTGAAGATAATCCCGAGCATTTCAGGAGTCGCTCCCATTCCTGTCTGCAGCATCCTGATGGCGTATACCGTGGCTCTGGCCAATTCCTACGGACGCCTCATCTCCGAGCTCAGACGCCAGATAGAGACGGTGAGCAGGCGGAGGGGCTTTCAGGGGCCTGGAAAGCACCGGGACGGGTGTAGGACGAGGGTAAGGGCGCGCCTCACCTCCACCTCGGCCGCAGGAGGCGCGGAACAAAGTCTTCCTGGCTCAGCGTGCCGTGGCGCTGGGTTCGGAGAACAGGCCTCTGTGAGCAGTCGAATCCGGATGGCGTCCGGCCCTCAGCCTCACTGCCCCCGACCCTGGGAACCTTCAGTTAGGTTGCACAGAAAATGACGACGCCCTCAAGTCCCTCTCTGTTGAGCCTTTTATCAATAAACAAGCCAAAGTTGCTGGGCCCTCTTGGGAATCTCAGTTCTGAAGCGTGCTTTCTGTTGGGGACCCGCTGGCTTGAAGGGCTCTTCCGTGAGAGGGCGTGACCTGAATGTCAGCCAATCGGCGGCCGTTCTTGGAGGCGTCCGGGCGGAGCCACTTGTGATTGCCTCAACCTGAGATGGTTGCTAGGCGACAACACGCGGCTGCTCTGGGAATGGCTATGATGGATGGAGCTTCATCCAATCATCTCTCGTTACTAAATTTGAGGGGGCGTACTAACCAGCCTCAAACCAATCCGTGGCTGAGACAGCAACAACGCGAGGATACCATCTGGCCAATAGGAAGTGCTTGAAGGCGGGCCTGCCAGTGTGTGGACTGCGGCCGCGCCATGAACATCTTGCCCAAGAAGAGCTGGCACGTCCGGAATAAGGACAACGTCGCTCGCGTGCGCCGTGATGAGGCGCAGGCCCGGGAGGAAGAGAAGGAGCGCGAGCGGAGGGTGCTGCTCGCTGAGCAAGAGGTAAGCTCCGATTCCTACGGAGCGGAGCTCTCGCAGACACTGTCGCGGGCGCAGCAGGCCGGAGCCGGAAGCGGGCGCTGCGCAGACGCACTGTGGCCGCGTCGCGGAAGGCGTTGTCCCTGCAGCCCCAGCAGCCCCGGACCACCCCAGGCTTCTGCGTGCCTGTTCCTAGCGCGGGTTCCCCGTGGGTGTATTTCGGGTGTCTAGAGCCTGGCACAGAGTAGAAACTTCATAAACATTCGTGTGCACGGTCCAAGGAGTTTCTGACTAGTCTGCCTGCGCCGCGTGCTCTGAGCCCCTACTTACTGTGCGCTCGCTCGCTCCAGAGCCGCGACTTCGGAAATCCCTCCCGGCTCCACGCTCCCGGAAGGGCGGCGTCGGATCGCGCGGAGACGCGAGAGCTTCAGATAGGAGGTGCGAGGAGGGAAAGGGGTTTCTTTACATCACCTTTGTCTGCTTTGCACCAGACTTTTACCTGCAGGGTCTTCCTCAATTAATCTGACCCTCAGTTAATCTGATCCTCAGCAGTGTCCTGGGTTTTTTATTGGTTTTGGTTTTTTGGGTTTTTTTTCTTTTTGAAACAGGGTTTTGATACGCAGTTCAGGCTGCCTTTGAACTCGCAGCGATCCTCCTTGCCTCAGTCTCCCGAGCGCTGGGAGGTGTACCATGTCCGGCCAGCCTAGGGTTTTTAAAATCACATTCATCAGCCCATTATTGAGTATAACTAAAATAAGCAAGTTTAATAAAGAATTCACATTTATAAGTTGCTAATGGGCTTGGATTCACACCTCGAATTCAGATTGCCTGCCAGAAACGAGGTTTAGCACAATTTATGTGCCACTTTTTAATTCTGATGCTAGCAGCTGGCCGCGGGCCCTCGCTTGTGCCTGGCTCTGCCACTAAGCTACAACCCGGGCCTCTGCATCCAGACAGAACTCATCCGATTTAGGCCAGGTATTGCCTCCCAGCCAGATTTTATTGTGTAGCTCACTAGCCTCAAACTCCTGGTTCTGCTGTGTGCAGTTAGAGGCCTGTGCCACCAGGGCATCTGAAGATGCCCCTTCTCTCTCCGGGCTGGGGCAGTCCCTCTGCTGCATTCCAGGGCCCCACAGGCCCCTCCAGGCGGCCCCTGCATGGTGGGCTGCTGCACTATCCAGTGGGCACCAAGCTTACACTTCTTCGACCACCAAGGTTTTGAATGCTCTCCATCTAATTCCCATCCCCCTTCTCCAGGCGCGCACCGAATTCCTGCGGAAGAAAGCCAGACAGCAGAGCGCGCTACCTGCTCTCCACACAGCAGAGGCGGGAGCTCCGGAATCCGGTCCTGTGGACCTGTTTCGGGATCTGCTGGTGGAAGGAAAAGGGGTGACCAAAGGCAACAAAGAGTACGAGGAAGAAAAGCGGCAGGAGAAGGTAGGAGGGCCTCACCCTGGAGAGTGGAATCCAGGGCGGAGCTGGGGAGGGGTGCTCTCAGCTGTGGGCTGTGAAGCCGGCGGGGCTGCACTCAGGCTGAACCAGCCCCTGCAAGGAGGTTATGGCTGCCCCAGTGCCCTCCACCCGCGCCTGCAGTGGAGGGCAGCTCCCATCAGACCTAGGCAGCTGCTGGCCCCTCACCCAGTCTGAGCAGCTGCATGCTTGGCTTTCTGTGGGCCTCCTTTAGGGTCTCCCCAGAGCCCACCAACAGCGGGGCTGTGCTGTGCCTGGGCGAAGCCTGTCAGGCCTGCCTCCTGGGACCAGAAGCTTAGGGGTGGGGTGACAGCACTCCCATGGGACTGAGAAGGCCCTCCCCTTCCCTCCCCTTCCCACAGGAGCGGCAGGAGAAGGCGCTGGGCATCCTCACCTACCTAGGCCAGAGTGCAGCAGAGGCCCAGACACAGCCCCCCTGGTATCAGCTCCCCCCGCAGCGAGGAGCCCCCCAGCCAGGCCCGGGCCCTGACGAGAAGATCAAGAGCCGCCTGGACCCGCTGTGGGAGGTGCAGAAGCATCTGCGGAGGAAGAGGCAGCACAGCAGTGGCGGAGGCAGCAGGGACCTCCCCAGGAAGGAGCCGTGGGCGACCAGGCCGACTGTGTAAGCGCCAGGGCCAGCCCACGTGGGCAGGTTCTCCTCACTGGTCCGCCACTGCCTGCTCATGTCCCTGGGCCTTGGGCCCAAGATCCATTGTCTTTCCTTGTCTTTGATACCAGGGATTGAACTCACTTGCCAGGCAAGTGCTCAGGCGCTGGGTGATCTCCCTGGCCCACTGTCATTTCTAAGCGTTGTGCTGACAGTTGCACTGCGGGGCGGGGGCGGGGGCGGGGGCGGGGCGCAGGGCGCAGGCCGGTAGCCCCAGCATTCAGGAGGCAGAGGCAGTAAGATGGTGGTTTGAGCCTAGCCGCAGTTTAACTCTTGAAATGTACAGGGCCCTGGGGCTTAAGCCTCAAGCACCACAGGAAAAGGGTGGGCAAGCAGGTGCCACCAGGACCTGCAGAACCCCACTGCCTGAGCGGACCCTGCTTCTTCCCCCACAGGCCGCCATCACTGGACCAGCTCCGAGCAGAGCGGCTCCGCCGGGAAGCAGCAGAACGGGCCCGTGCAGAAGCCCTGCTGGCCCAGGTCCAAGGCCGCACGGCTCGGGAAGGTGGGCCACAAGACGAAGAAACAGACGAGCGACACCGCCGCTACAACTCCCAGTTCAACCCCCAGCTGGCCCGGCGTCCCCGCCGGCAGGATGCCCCTCCTGCTCGCTGATTTCTGAGGGGTACAGGAGAGGCTGCTGCTACCAGCCATCATATAAAACTATTTATTCATAAATATTTTCCAAAATGAAAATAGGTTTACCAAAAAATGTCCCTCACTGGGGAGGGGAGAAGGGAGGGGCAGCCCTTGCCCTGGACCCCAGGGTGGGGCTAAGAGGACCTCCCAGCCCCCTCCCACTTCCTGGGGAGGGGGTGCCCATGGCTTGGGCCTCCCCTTCTTGGGGCAGGGCCCTCACTTGGGCAGGGGCGTCAGCATGCGGGGAGGGTTCAGGTGGAGGCCCAGTGTCACTGGAGGTCCCGGTCCTCCAGGTAGCGGTACTCAAAGGTGAAGCCTTCCTTCTTGCGCTGGCCCCACTTCTCGTAGTCGAAGTAGATGTAGGTGCCCTGGCCGAGGAGGCGGTCAGTGAGAGGCGCCGGCTAACGCCGTGTGCCCCTGCCATCTTCTGGGAGGGTTGTGGTGTGCCCCTCGCTTAGAGGGCAGCATGGGAGAGGCCCGAGCGTGCCGCGAATGGCCCTGAGGCAGCCAGGGCCCCGGCCCTCACCCCGCTGGAGACAGGAGCACTCTGCTCTGCAGGTGGACACCATCGTAAGGGTGCTGCCCATGTGTCGGGGTGACAAGGGTGCCCAGGAACGTGGCGACTGGGCTGGGATGGGATGGTGTGGGGACTTGGGAGCAATCTGGGCCCAGAGTGGCCTGGAGGACAGGCTGAGCATGGGGAGTGCGTGGGGCACACGCCACGCACCTGTGACACACAGGAGCAGGCTCATTAGTGCAACAAGCTGCCCCAGGCCTGTCACTACTGTATAGAAAAGGACCCTGGCCACACTGCCACTGGGCAGCGAGCCTACACCCTCCCTGCCCTGCAGGGCCTGGGAGACGGAGGGCCCAAGGCCCACATGGGGACACTGGTGCCCGCCACCAAGGCTCTGCAGAGCAGCAGCAGGGCCCCGCCCAAGGACCTCACCTGCTCGAACTCGTCCGTGATGGTCTTGGGCTCCTCATGCCTCTGGAACCACATCATGTACTTTGTGTGGAACCGCCACGACTGCTTCTTCAGGGCCTTGGCCGCCAAGTACTGAGCCTTCGTGCCCTGTGCACAGGGAGCAGAGGGGCTCAGGGGACCCCATGCAGGAGGGGGGCCGAGGCAGGGGGGGGCTTGACAGGGGTGGTGGTAAAAAGGTCTTCTAAAAAGGAAAATGCAAGGAATGTGGGAATTGCTTTCAGAGTTTTGCAAAGGCAGAGCAACTACAGTATGAGCCCAGAGCACCTGGAGCGGGGAGGGGGAGCGATGGCTCCCCACACTGCTACACCTGCTCTGTCCTGCCTGGGGGCCATGACAGCAAGCTGAGCTGTGGCCACCACACAGACTAGCCTGTCCTGCAGCTTGAGCAGCTCTAACCTGGGCGGGATGGGGATGGGGGGATGTGGACAGGTAGAGAAGGGGTGCAGTCCTGGTAGCCACAGGAGGACACCCACCTCGCCCCTCCAGCCCGAGGGGGGATGGCGGCGTGGCGGCGGAGCCAGGGCCCCGCTGTACCTCCAGATAGTAGAAAATGAAGAAGAGGGTCTCCGTGGACAGGCGCTGGTAGAACTCCACAGTGTCCGAGTGCGGAGGCGGCATCTGGTGGTGGTAGGGGGGAGTCGGGCAGGGGTTCCGGGGAAGGTACTGCCTGTGGGACAGCAAGAGGTCAGCACCAGGCAAGGTCCCAGCTAGGCGTCAGCATGAACTGGGAATGTTCAGCGACACCCCAGACCTCACTGTGCCCCAAGAGAGAAGCCCACTAAGGGCTCAGGCTGGTCTCAGACCTGTGATCCTCTGGTGCAGCCTCCAAGGCAGCTGGGATTGCCGGGTGCCCACCACACCCTTCCTGGGGACCCAGAACCAGGCCCCCAGCCACCGCCTCCCTGCGGAGCCCTCACCGGATACGCTCAGAGTCGGAAGGGTGGGGCATGTGGTGCCAGGCGGCCTCTTCCATGGCTTGCTGATAGAGCTGCTCCTTGGTGAGGGGCACCGGCCCCAGTGGGCACACCCCCAGTGAAAGCGGGATGTTCACCTCTGACAGCTGCAGGGGCGGCTGGGCTGAGGCCGGGGGCGCGGAGGTGCTGCTCAGGATGATGTCTGGGGGTGGGGAGCCAGCAGGGCCCAGGTGAGGCGAGGTGGGCGCCTGCACTGCTCTCTGGTCCGCCCGTCACCCTGCAGGACCCCTCACCTCGCTCAGTCAGGTGGAGCGTCGGCACGGGGTCCTCGATGCCTGAACTGATGGCCGCACGCTCGGCCATGGACTTGAGGGAGCTCAGGGGCTCTGGGGCCTAGGGAGGGAGGGGCACAGCTGAGGGCCAGGGCACAGACGCAGTCTCCGGGCCCTGAACCCCAACGCACAGGTCGCCCAGCACCTGAGACCTCTGGGGAGCTGGGGTGACACCATCCCGCTATTAGAGCTTGCAGCTCCCACGCCACTTTCTCAGTCACGCGCATCAGCGTGTTGTCCATTCCAGTGGCTGGATGTAACTCCAACCCCTGCACGTGCATGGCCCAGCTGAGTGCTACACCCCCAGCTGGGCCCCCCATCTAGGCAGCACTCCAGTGGCGTGCTGTCCCTGCCTTCGGGGCTCCCCAGCCCAGGACTCCTTGGGGAACAGTGGGCTCCGCTGAGCACCTACCCCACGCCTCCAGGAGTCACACACCATCCCCAGTGCCCTCCACCCCAGCTCCCTCTCCTAGCCTGTCTCCAGGGCTTTATGAGGACGGCTCTTGCCAAGAATCCGGGACAGTCATGCCAAGACTAGCTGGACAGCCTCGAAGCGCACTCAGCATGGGCGCTGGAGCATCCAGTCCCTCTAAGAGCCCCTGGGCCAGTATAAAGGCGCCCACGTCACCCACAGCCGCTAGGACACCCCTGGCCACCAGGTCACCCCTAGACAGGAAGCCAGCTGCATGTGGCCAGCACAGAGCAGGGTTAGCCAGGAAACGGGCTGCCTGGAGCAGAGCGGCAGCGTGTCTGTGAGGGTCCTGGGGACACAGAGGCTAGGGGAGCCCGCCAGACAAACCCACCAGCGGGCCTGACCCAGAAGGAAAGCCAACGCACCTGCACGAGGGGCGGTGCTCACCTTGATCTCTGGGGCGCTGCTGAACTGCGGGGGCCCATTGAGCAGGGCCCCAGCCGCTTTGCCCTCGCTGAAGCTGGGTGTTGGGGAACTGGGGGGGTTCACAGGCAGTGGCACCAAGAGGCTGGGGCCCCCAGAGTTGTTCCCTGAGCCGGGGGCCACACCCCCAGCCCCCGTCGGGGCAGCTGCACTGGGCTCCTTCCTGGGGAGAAGGGGAAGCCTCAGAAGAGGTCGCACAGGCAGATGCAGAGGGGCTGCGGAATCGGCTCCAAGAGAAACAGCAGCAGGTCAGGCAGCAGAGAAGCAACGCTTGCGGGGAGGTGGAGGAGGGAACAGAGCCTCCAGGGGCCCCAACAGGCCACAGCCGACCAGCAGAGGACAGGGGGTGTCAGTCACTAGGGTGAGCAGGGGTGGTGGTGCACACCTACAATCCCAGCACAAACAAGGCTGAGGCAGGAGGATCACTAGGAGTCTGAAGCCAGCCTGAGCGACATACTAAATTTTAGCTCAGCCCGAACTATACAGTGAGACCATGTCTCAAAAAAAAAAAATCACAATCAAAAATACAGGGCCGGTGAGATAGCTCAGCGGACTAAGCACGTGCTTTGGCAAGTACAGGGACCAGGGTTCAATCCCCAGTCCCACATGCCCACCCCAGGGCAAGCTGAGCCGGCAACAGAGTCCAGGCCTGGTGGTGCACGCCTGTAATCCCAGCACTGGAGAGGCTGAAAACAAGATCACTACGAGTCCAAGCTGTACAGTGAGACCCTATACCAATACACAAATGAAAATTAAAAAAAAAAAAAAAAAAGCAACAATGGTCACTGAGATATAGCAGGGGCCATTTCAATCACGAAACAAGCAGCCCTGGGCAGGCGGCCTGGTGAAGGCTGGAGGTGTGCGACGTCAGGCAGGCTTCCATCAGGCACTCAACAAGAGGGCTGGTGGAGTCTGCCCTGGGCTGGGGGCATCTGGATAGTACTGTGTGGGCAGCAGAACAGCGTCCCTGTGGTGGATGTCAGGGACCAAGGACAGGGCAGGGGGCTGAGAAGGCCCGGCTGGAGGCCACGTATAGGACGGGTACGCTGCCCGTATCACCAGCAGCTCTGAAGCTTCACCAGCACTGTTCTAGGGCATCCTAAAGGGCAAGGCAAGCTGGGGACGGTGGCGCACGCCTGGCATCCCGCACTCATACTCTGAGGCAAAGGAGCTCAAGCCTAGTCTGAAGGAGAGAGCAGGTGATGACAGCAGTGGAGGGAGCCCCCGAGCCCCACTAGGACCTACCCAGCGCTGGGGGGCGGGTTATGTGTGCCTGAGCTGGGGCCCAGGGCCTGGCTGCTGGTGCTGCTGCCCCCACTGCTGCTCAGGGCCACCTCTGCAGGGCTCTCTGCCACGACAGAGCTGTAACCTGCGGAGGGAAGGGTGAGCGGCAGGGGATGCCGGCTGCTCGGCCCTGCCCAAGGCCTGGCCTCCCACGCTAACCCCACTTACTGGTGGCGCCATTCTGCTTGCCAGCCCCACCGCCTGCACTGCCGCCACCGCCGCCACTCCCTCCAGCACCTCCACCACTCCCACCACTGGGCTGGGCGCTAGGGGGCCGGGGCTGGGCACTCCCCGGTCCACCGGTGGCAGGTGGGGCCACAGCCTGGGCGTAGGGGGCAGGGGTGCCCGAAGTGTGGCTGGGAGCTGGGCTGGCCTTGGGGCCCAGGGCACTTGGTGTCGCTGTGGGAGTGGAGGCCCCATTGTTGCCGGGGGTGGCGCTCAAGGTGGAGCTAGCAGGCAGGGGCCCCGAGGGGTAGGTGGGCGGCACAGCTGGAGACTGGGGGTGCTGGTTGCTGTGGACAGGCTTGGAGCCGTTTTTGGCTGGAGACTGCAGGATGGAGAACAACAGTCACACCTGGG